GAGAACGTGAAGACGGACAGACGTGAGAACTTGAAGACGGACAGACGTGCCTTCTGTCTCTGAGGGACAGTCTTCATCTCTGCAGCCTCTGGTACCTGCTGCATCAGTGTCAGAGACAGAATTCAAACAGTGTTTCAGGCCCGAGTCCATTTGAGACGAAAAATCCTCAAATATCATGTTGAAGTTTTCTAAAAGTTTTTATCAAACAAACTGAAGGAAACAGGACGACTGCTGCACACACACACACACACACACACACACACACACACACACACACACACAGCTCTTACCTCCATCTGATCAAAGAAATGAGCTGACTGGAGAGAGAGAGAGAAGTGTGTTAATATTGGTTTAAGTGTGTGTGTGTGTGTGTGTGTGTGTGTGTGTGTGTGTGTGTGTGTGTGTGTGTGTTACCTTCACGGTGGGGGGTGCGGTGCGGGGCGGAGAGGGGGGGCAGTCTGCCACAGCAACATTGGAGATGGTCAGAAGTTCCTGTTTACTGAGAATCATCAGGATCAATAATCATTTATCACACAAACACTATTAATGAATATTGCTGAGTCAGGCTTGATTACTGACAAGTGAAGCTGCTGACTCATGACATGGACCAGTATTGATGACTCATGATTGAAAATGACTTAATGAGGTCTAAATATAAATGAGTCACACTTGAGCCTCTTCAGAACGAAGGATCAAACTGGTTGGACCTCGTTGGAGAAACTTTCCCGACTTGATCTTTATCTGGTGACCCGGTGATGTGATGACAGTGGTGAGTCAGCGTCGACGGGTCACAATGATTGGACCTTTACAGACGTGGACATAACATGTGAGACTACGAGTCGATGGCTCAGTTTTGACCTTGACGAGGTTGAGATACATTTGATAACTCTACTGAACGTCCCAGCTTCAGAGACATGGGAGGACTCCTGGGATCCACGGGGGCCACTGGGAGTTCTCTGAGCAAAAAACACCTCCAGGCACAAAATGTTCACGTCCTGCTGAGCTCAGAACGTTTGATCCCTGATGGAGGCTTCACTCACAACCACAGAGATGAGCTGTGGTTGTGATCAGAGGTGTCGGACTTCCTGCTGAGGCGTCACAGTCACTGACATCATCACCTCCGGCACTTTAACACGGTAAACAACCACAGATCTCTAAATATTTAATAAAACCTTGTAATTAAATTACTTTTACAGCTGTCTCTACGCTCTCGCTGGTTTTCTTAAATCTGACGACTGTTGTTGGTTTTATGGTATTTACTTGTCTTCAGAAACACAAAACTGATTCTAGACCCTGAGAATGAACAGAAAGGTCACAAAGACACAACGAGACGAGAAGGACGAAGACAAGAAACCTGCTGAGAGGGAAAAGGTCACTGTGTGTGTGTGTGTGTGTGTGTGTGTGAGGACCAAGACTTGACCAGTCCTGACGGTTGACAAAGTGTTTTTTTTATTGTTAAGATTCTTTCCAAGTGGACGTCTTCGTCTTCTACGTGTACGGCTCCTCTTCTAAATCCAGAGAGAATTGTGTCCTTCTAGTTTCACGTCCGTCACGTGTTAGAAACCTCAGAGACACGCCCACTCGCTCACTGAGAAGGTTCCAGATGTTTTTGACTCACTCTGACATTTTACAGATGTTTCACTCGAGGCTGCAGGACAAGATCCAGAACATGTCCAGAGACACTGACTCAGACATTTGTCTTCACATACAGAACATGTGAGGAACATGTAAATGGTAAATGGTTGTATTTATATAGCGCTTTTCTAGTCTTGAAGACCACTCAAAGCGCTTTACACTACAGTTTTCCATTCACCCATTCACACACACATTCATACAGTGCTTCTATAGCTAGCACTTTTTTTGATGTTCTATTGGGCAGTTTTGGGGTTCAGTATCTTGCCCAAGGACACTTTGGCATGCAGATGGGAGGACTGGGGATCGAACTTCCGACCTTCTGGTTGGAGG